TATACCCGCCCCATTACTTGTATGTAATATAACCACCCGTTACTTGTATGTAGTATACCCGCCCCGTTATTTGTATGTAATATAACCGCCCCGTTATTTGTATGTAATATAACCGCTCCGTTATTTGTATATAATATAACCGCCCTATTACGTGTATTTAATATAACCGCCCTATTACGTGTATGTAATATAACCGCCCTATTACGTGTATGTAATATAACCGCCCCGTTAATTGTATGTAATATAACCGCCCAATTACTTGTAGGTAATATAACCGCCCGTTACTTGTATGTAATATAACCGCCCGTTACTTGTATGTAATATTACCGCCCAATTACTTGTATGTAGTATACCCGCCCCGTTATTTGTATGTAATATAACCGCTCCGTTATTTGTATATAATATAACCGCCCTATTACGTGTATTTAATATAACCGCCCTATTACTTGTATGTAATATAACCGCCCTATTACGTGAATGTAATATAACCGCCCTATTACGTGTATGTAATATAACCGCCCTATTACGTGAATGTAACATAACCACCCTATTACGTGTATGTAATATAACCACCCCGTTAATTGTATGTAATATAACCGCTCCATTACTTGTATTATTGTCTTTATTTCCTCCGAAACGAAGATTCACATACAGAACAATACATATATGCATTCATTGAAGAATGACAAAGTAACGTACATGTTATATGGCAATATACAAACGGAAATTCAAAGGGTAAATTGTATTGTAAAGTAAGGGTTACGCCCTATAACTTCTATGTTATATTACCGCCCCGATACTTGTATGTAATATAACCGCACTGTTACCTGTCCTGTATGTAATATCAACGCCCCGTTACGTGTATTTTACTCGGCTTTACATGTGCTTATTAAGATTTCTATGACTTATATATTAGGTATACATCTATACATCTATACAAATACAGATTTTTCTCATTTATTAACTTCAATATTGACCGTTTCTGTTAGTTTAGTAGTGAACACAAACAGACATACGGCCTATAATGAGGCTACACCACGCCATACACCTATAATACCAGTCGATTTCAAAGAAAATTGATTCGTTTAACTGGCACGTTATTGAGTTTACAAACTTATAATGTCCAGGGTGGATCGTATTTCCTCATTTAAATATCCGGACTGTCCACAAATTGGAACGAATACGTGTCAAATGGTCCTAACTTTAAAGCCGTGGATTTTTTGAGGAGACAATGATAGACAATGATGCTTGGTTAGAGGGGCAGGGGTCTATGTAATAACGCATGCAGGCTGTGTGTGTGTGTAATATACGATATAGCTCACGTGAAAAACATATAAATAATAAATAATGGCCAACCTAACGTCAAAAATTTTTTTTTTAAATATCTTGAAATGAAATAGAAATGCATGTATGTTGAAATGAAATGAAAGATCAAGTAGATATATCTCTAAAAGAATTTATTTCTGCAAAATGAATGAATACAGATTTTTGGAAAATATGATAGAGATATAATAGCATTGGTGCCCGTGAACAGCTGTTCAAAGTGTAATGTGTCACCGTAGAAAATCAAAACTTTATTTTCACTGTGAAACCACATATTCTTCTAGTTAAAACGTAATAAATAGAGAATTACCTTGATTTCTGGATAAATGACAGCCGTTTTCACGAGTGGGGTGAATATTTTGATAATTTGCTTACGTGCAAAGCACGAGTGAAAACAAGAGAGAAAATGTGCAACACACAAGTGAAATTTAACTATGTTTTACCTAGAAACCAAGAATATTTTTTATATTACGTTTATAACAAAGACACTGGCTTTCTTGAACAGATAGTCCATCTTCCGTCTTCCAAAATGATCACATATCAGATGCCGTATGTTAGACGTCAGGGTCGACAGGGGATCATTGCGTTATTTACCCCACTAAAGCTCACTCATTGACTGATGATAGACGTCAGGGTCGACAGGGGATCATTGCGTTATTTACCCCACTAAAGCTCGCTCATTGACTGATGTTAGACGTCAGGGTCAGAATGTGTATATATTGTATACAAGGCAAAATATCTATAAGGCAGTTTCATATCCGAGTTCAGTATATATGTAGATCCCATTGTCAGCGGATCCCTAGGTAGGGCCGGGGTTGATAGGCGCTGTGAGGGGGACTTGACAGGTGATGATCATATGTGCTGTTTAGGTCTTTTGTCCCTGTTTTTAACTGGTCACGATTTTAACTGTTGATTTCAGAGTTTTATTTGTCTACCAGCTTATCTTAAACTCATTTGTCACACCATTGGATTTTCTTGGTTTTGTTGAACTTTTGTTTGACTGTATGACCCATGTACCGTTATAACATACTGACTGACAATGCCATTCCTTGCTTAAAGGGTAAGAATACGATCACTTTGAAATTCGATACCATTTCTACTTATAATTATCTTTATTAGATCTAACTTTCAAAGACCTGATGTAACAATGTGTCCCTAGTTTTACAGTTAGAGTAACTGAGGACCCGGTACTTACCTCAGTCCCAACCCCTCGTACCTGGTGATACCCTGAGTGTACTTCCCTCAGTCCCAACCCCTCGTACCTGGTGATTCCCTGAGTGTACTTACCTCAGTCCCAATCCCTCGTACCTGGTGATACCCTTAGTGTACTTACCTCAGTCCCAATCCCTCGTACCTGGTGATGCCCTGAGTGTACTTACCTCAGTCCCAACCCCTTGTACCTGGTGATACCCTGAATGTACTTACCTCAGTCCCAACCCCTCGTACTTGGTGATACCCTGAGTGTACTTACCTCAGTCCCAACCCCTTGTACCTGGTGATACCCTGAATGTACTTACCTCAGTCCCAACCCCTCGTAACTGGTGATACCCTGAATGTACTTTACACAACAACCCCTCCCCCAC